TTTTTCATAGGCTTTTTTGAGTTTAGGCAAGGACACAGGGCCCCCATGATCCCCTATTGCCTGGGGGCCCCATGAGTTGTCAGTCTGCCCCTGGGCACTATTCCTCCCACTAACACCAACAATGGGACTCTATTCCTCCCTCTGACAAAAATGATGGGGCACTATACCTCCCTCTGAAGATGTGGCATTGTTTATTCCCTCTGACACCAGGACATTTTTCTACTCCCACTAGCCACAGTCCAGCCCCCCTAAAGTCTGAAGGATAGTAAACTGGCCCCTTGTTTAGAAGGTTTGGAGACCCCTGATGTATAGGATGCTGGGAGAAGATTGTGAGATCATGCTGTCTGAAAGCATATTATTATATCTGTCATCTATTAGAAGGGAGTCTGATTTTGCACTCTCCCAGCTTTAGTAAATAAACCACTTGAAGCTGCTAAAGTATATTACAGGCTAAGCTGCAGTCACATCGTTTTGGCATCAAATCATTTGTTTGGCTCTAGCTGACACAATTTAGCCTCATAAGGACAAAGTACTACCCGTGTTTCCCCGAAAATAAGACCTACTTACAGGTTTCCTTCTGGGTGAAATATAAGGCATCCCCCCATGGCCCCGAAAATAAGGCCCCCCCTAGGCTCTGTCGTCTCGGAATGAAAATTAATTTACCGTAAACTGGTTGCTAGGGCCGCCCCGACTGGCGTCTAGCAACCAGTGACGTTACGTGGAGTCCTGACGTCACTGCTGTGTGTGGAGGCGGAGCGGAGGTCGGAGTGAGCAGTGAACGCGGGGCGGGAGAGAGGAGGAGACTTTCGCAGATGCGTGTAGAAGAACAGGAGGATCAGAGCGGACGGGACGCGGCGAAGGTGGTGAGTGCTGGTCTGTCTCTGGTGACACTGCCTGATGCTCACGGCCGCCCTCATGATGACTGAAGGTTCTCAGTCAGTGGCACCACACCCTGCTCCAGCCCAGGTCCAGGCCCCAGCCAGCCAGCCCAGTGACAGTCCAGGCCCAGGGGGGAAATGTCTGATAAAGGGGTGGGGGGGATGTCTGGTGAAGGTGTTCAGTGGCACAGGGGTGGGGGGAGGGGGATCACTTAAAATGACACAGGATCTTTTGGGGCAATCAAAATGAGGGGACAATCAATCAAAATGACACAGGAGGATCAGAGGGGGCAATCAAAATGACACAGGAGGATCAGAGGGGGCAATCAAAATGACACAAAATGACACAGGAGGATTACACACGGAGGATTGTTTTAAAAGGGCAAAAAAGGGGTTACTAAAATGGTAATTTCCTTTATTTTCATTTAACAATAAATGTGTACCGTATTCTTCTTCTGGAAAAATAAGACATCCCCTGAAAATAAGACCTAGCACATCTTTGGGAGTAAAAATAATATAAGACACTGTCTTATTTTCGGGGGTCGGGTATATTGGCAAAAGTATTGGGCCCCCCTCCAAATCATTGGATTCAGGTGTTCCAATCACCTCCATGGCCACAGGTGTATACAATCATCACCTAGGCATGCAGACTGCTTCTACAAACATTTGTGAAAGAATGGGTCGCTCTCAGGAGCTCAGTGACTTCAAGCGTGGTCCCGTGATAGGTTGTCACCTGTGCAATGAGTCCATCCGTGACATTTCCTTGTTACTAAATATTCCACGGTCAGCTGTTAGTGGTATTATAACAAAGTGGTCAATGACTTGGGGTAATGAGGGAATGAGGGGGACTTACATTGAGCATATAAGACTGACTGTGATACCTTTCTCAGCCTGCACTACCTCTGGCCACCACTAGAGGGAGACTCCACTCCAAGCTAGCTGGCTGACCACACACTGCCAGATATGAAAAAATCTTATATACCAGTGATGGTGAACCTTTTTAGAGACAGGTGCCCAATCTGCAACCCAAAACCCACTTATTTATCGCAAAGTGCCAACACTGCAATTAAACCTGAATACTGAGGTTTTCATTTAGAAAGAACAACCCATACATTAACATCTTTTGTCTTAAAAGAAAAACACAATAACAGAGCTTCCACTGACCACCAGCACAAGGGGGCAAAAATTCCACTGAACACCAGCACAAGGGGGCAAAGTTCCACTGACCACCACCACAAAAAAAAATAAAATTCCACTGACCACCAGCACAAGGGGGCAAAATTCCACTGACCACAGCACAAGGGGGCAAAAGTTCCACTGACCACCAGCACAAGGCAGGCAAGGTTCCACTGACCACCAGCTCAAAGGCAAAATTCCCTGACTGAACACCAGGGTACAAGGAGGCCAGACAGTCTTAGGGCTCGTTCAGGCAGGCGGCCTGGGAAAGTCAGTAAGTAAGAGAGGGCAGTAGAGCTGCAGCTTTCACCGGCCTTAAGCTACAACTGCAGCCAGATGGGATTGTACATAAAAAATGACACCTCCTGTCGTTCGGTCAGTAGAACCAAATCCAAAGGTGACTTATTCAAGTAAATTGGGCCATTGGGCCACGCCATAACCACCCTGCGACTGCATGTAATGAATGCTGTTGTGGTATTTTGGTGCGGGCTTGCAGGAGGTGACAGATGGCCACCTGCCAACTGCCATCCAATCCGGAAAAACCAAGTCTACTGTGGCTAAAACCTGCAACTCTGCCTCTAAAGAAACTTATGTACTTTTTTTCCAGCATTGAGCTTCAAGCAACACTATGCTCTTGTGTGGATGGGCACCACCAGGGCTTTTTTTTTCAGCGAGAACCTCAGGGGAACGTAGTTCCGGCACCACCAGCACTGAATGTACGTAATGGCAAGGGGTGGTGGGGTGTGTACTGCAGGGTCCATTGATGCTGGCTGCTGGAGGATCTATTGTTGTTGGAGGAGATCTATTTTTGTGTATGGGGGTGTATATTGATGCTGAGGAGGTCTACTGTTGATAGTGGGGGATCTATTGTTGCTGAGGGGTGTCTTATGTTGCTGTGGGGTCATTTATTGCTGGAAAGGATCTACTGTTGAGGGAGGGGGTCTATGGTTGCTAGCTGCTGGAAGATCTATTGATGCTAGCTGTGGGGAGATCTGTTGATGCTGTTGGGGACTATTGTTGCTGGAGGAGGGGTATTTTGTTGCAGGTGGTCCATTGTTGCTGGTTGCAGGGGGTTTATTTTACTGCTTTGCTTGTTAACATTTCAAATTCCATACAAATTGATACTTGGTTTTGTATTCTCAAAGAGGACGATACTGGTAGGTAGGTGGTAAGGGGTGGAACGCAGGGACAGTGTGGGACAGAGACAGGAGGTGACTCAGAAAGGGAGACTTCCTGCACCTATTCTATGAGAAAAAAAAAGCCCCGGGCACAATGCTTGTCCCCACAAAATTCTCAATTATTGTCCCACAATTGAGAGCTTCACAAACACTCAAGACACGAATCAACCGAAAGAATCATTTTGAAAAAATAAAAGAGACTATAGAGAGAAAAGCTATTACTTTGTCTGAGCCGACCTTAGAGAAAACCTTCATAAAAATAGTCAGAAACAACAACTTAGCATCCAGCAACGTGTGAGACAATAAACGCTTTGGTCACGACATGGAATGCAGAGCGGTCAGCATTACTGAAATACACCACAATATACAGAGTACAGCAGTGATCACAATATAAAGAATGTCAACATTTTAAATTCCTAATATGTGCCTGACACACATGTACTTGTATGAAAAAGTATCCTGTTCTATGTGTATTGCTTCCTTTGTGTGAAATCCCTGGTGTTCCTGCCAGCCCCTCTGGTTTCCTATTATAAACTGACCACACTAAGCAGGAGAACACAGTATGGCCAGTTCTCTAGCTGTTCAGGGAACTTCAATGATCAGGCTTGTCCTCCCCACCTCACGCAGGCATTCACTGGGAAGATCAGTATCCTGCTGTTTCTCCTCCCCCCAGCTTTCTAAGCTTGTTATACAGCTGAGAACTGAGGGAATGTGATCACTTATTAAAAAGGATTTTTTTTTGTTTTTTATATCTATACACAAATATTTTGCTTTACATTTCTATTTTAATCGGAATAGGTTGTTTTACAAGGTGAGGGTTTACATATATTTTAATGCAAAATACAACATATGGGGGGAATTTACTAAGATGGGAGCAGACAGAATCTAGAGCAGCAGTGCCTGATAACCAATCAGCTTCTACATTCAGCTTGTTCAGTAAAGCTTTGAAAGTGAAAGCTATAAGCTGATTGCATGCACAGCTCCTCCAAATTCCCCTCATAGAGTACAGGGAGGGTATGTCATAGTGTCTAGTATACTGCTGGTCTGTGGAGGAAAAATATCTTGGGTCTGTGGTCAGTGATGGAAAAACTGTTTGGCCTCCAGTTACCAGGAGGGAAAAAATGGCCGCCATCTGTGGTGAATGGTTTGAAAAAATCTATTTGTCAGTGGGAGAACAAATGTCCCCAGTGTTGGTGATCAGTGCTGCTGTCAGTGTTCAGAGGGCAGGAAAATGTCTCATCAGTGGGAGAAACAAATTGGTATTTGCTTGGGGGGGGGGGGGGGATTGGTACTAAGTGACGAGCAAAGGGGGTAGTGATGCTCTGGGGTGGTAGTGGGGGGGGGGGGGCATTGGTCTTTAGTGGGGGGTCAGGCGTGGGCACCATTGTGGTAGCCAGAGCATTGGTCCTCAATGGGGGGTGAAGGGTGGGAACTGGTATTCAGGGGTAGTAGTGGGTGCATTAGCATTCAGTGGGCGGTCAGGGAAGGCACTCATGCTCAGTAGTGGTAGCAAGGTCAGTAGTCCTCAGTAGAGTGTCAGGGTTGGGCAGTGGTGATCTCAGTGGTGGTAGTGGGTGGCATTGGTCTTCAGTGGGGGATGGGTCACTCATGCTCAGTAGTGGTAGCAAGGTCACTGTATATAAACGGCCAGACGGGGGGAGCAGTGCAGGAGAGGGTTGCCGTTCACAAATGGCGCCCACCTTTTTAGCCTGTGCGCGCTCCCTGGGAGCGCGCGCAGCAGCGCGAACAGGTACCCACTGTGTCCGGAGGACACAGCGGAACACCGATCGCTGTACCAGACCTTTGTGTGAGGTCCTGATCATGTGATCACTGATTGGTCAATCAGTGATCACATGAACAGTAGTAAGCAAGATGTCACTTCCTGACATCATTGCTTACTACTTGTGAAATCTGTGAATGATCACAACCTTGTACCATGTGAAAGCTGTGACCAATCACAACTCGCACGGTATTTCTCAATGGCTGCAGGAATGCAGCCAGAGAGGAGAAATGATTGCTTTTACAGCCTTCATGGGTGTAAAAGCAATCAGTGTAAAAAAAAAAGGGGATTCATCACCGCCCACAAGTAGTACAGTGTCACTATGGTGACACTGTACCGCTAGGGTGACAGTATGTAAAAAAAACCACAAATAATATAATAATATAAAAATGTAAAAATTATAATTTTTGGTTATAAACTAATTTGGGTTATTTTTTTTTCACTAAAAAGATAACTGAATACATTTTGGCCAAGAGTTATGAAGAAAGAGTATTTATTTGCAAAAAAAACACTTTTTTCAAACTTTTTGGACATTTTCATTTATATAGCAAAAAAAAATAAAAATTCAAGCGGTGAATAAATACCGCCAAAATAAAGTTTTATCTGTCTCAAAAAATAAAAATGTCACATGGGTACAGTGTTGCATGACCGCGCAATTGTCATTCAAAGTGTGATAGCGCTGAAAGCTGAAAATTGCCCTGGACAGGAAGGGGGTAAAAGTGTCCGGACTGGAAGTGGTTAAACCCCCCAAAAGGCCAGCCCAGCACCTATGTACACACCAACACAAGCACACCGATCGGGGCGCCAATGCATGACAACGTTGCTTGTGCTACACCTGTTATGTATTGCTGCACATGCCACAGTGAGTGCAATCATTTTTGGGCTGTTATACATAGTTCATTCTAACCTGATGATCTGGAGGGGCTTTTATTGTGTCGCCTAGGAAAAAATACAGGGTAGCAAAGTTCATCTTTGTAGTACGGACATGCTCAGTGTTAAATCTTCTCAAGTTGGGGATCTATTTACCTGGCGCAACTTCAACTTTTATATTTTACCAAAACCTTGGGAAACATATGGTGTTTGTGTGCCCTAAAATGAACTGTAGTCCTCATGCACACGGGACGTTTTTGATAACGCTGGTAACGTTAGCTGTGTAAAGTCACACTTTTTTAGTGTTTTTGCATTAGCGTTTAGCTGCGTCTTTTGGTAAAAAAAATTCCAAAAAACCGCCAGTCTGCGCGTTTTACCGCATTTTTTTACATTACAGCTAAAAAAGTCCTGTAGAAACACACTAGTCCTGGGTTTTTTTTTGCAGCCAAAAAAAAATGCTGATTTCAGTCTATGTGTGCATGGACACATAGGATAACATGCTGGGGGGTTTACTAGTTGTGGAAAAAAACATCAAAAGCCAAAAACAGCCGCTGTAAAAAACGTCCCGTGTGCATGAGGACTTAGTGTCATTTTTTACTAAAAATTTGCGCTTGAAAAACCACTGCGCAAATATTATGTGACATAAATTGGAACTATCTCTATTTTATTCGCAAGGGTCTCTGCTTTAACCTCCCTGGCGGTATTCCTGAGTGTAGCTCGGGGTAAAGTTTCAGCACCACAAGCGGTAACCCCGAGCTACACTCGGGAATACACTGCAGCGTTGTTCCGGGATCTCTTCTGCACTTACCTTGTCCTGCGCTCCCGCGATGTCCCCCCTGCAGTGTCCCCGGCAATGTCCTCCAGCCGATGCCGGCATCCATCTTCTGGGTTCTGTTCCCTGCGACGTCGGGACGTACGGGGGATGGAACGGCGCGAAATTTAAAAATGTCAAAAAGTGACATTCACTAAATACACTAAAATCACATAGTATAACATTCCTGTATCAAACCATTTCACATACATTTTGTCCCGAGTGCTTTGTCCTGTGCCCTGCCTGCATTTTTACTGTTCTTTCTGCCTGGAAACTGAGAAACGTCCATGGCGTCCAAAAAGCGTCCCTTTAGGTCAAAAGCGGTTTTAGAGACCGCTAGAGAACAGCGATAGTAAATCAGAACCACTTGCAGAATTGAGTGATAATGATTCATGGGGGAAATTCGTCATCAGACACTGAAAACGATTCTGCGACTTTGCTCACTGATGTGCGCACTTGGCGCTATATTTCAAATTTCAGTGTTTTTGGTTTGATTATATTGAATTTGAATTAAATTATTATTATATTATTTTTTTGATTATTTATTAAATTATAATTTATGATTTCGTGTTTCAAATTTTATCCTACCCGGGATGTTTACTAATAGACTCTTGTTCGGACAGATTTCAGTGAGTTATTGCTAAAAATTACAGGCCTACAATAAAAAAACAACATATTTCCATGCAAAAAAATGTACCGCTTTGAGCACAGAAATACTGACATAATCAGACCGCTAGGGAGGCTACGAAAATATATCATGTTTGGGGGAATTCTGTAATTTTTAGTAATTGCCTTAAATGAATTTGTAAACATATGTGGGGAAAAAAAACTGTAAAACCGGCTCTGGCAGAGAAAGGGTTTAAACTCGCCCAGTCTAAATTTAGGCTAACATTCCAGTTGTGTGTCTATAGGACAGGATTTCTGGTAGTAATTAAGGTAAAATAAGGTTTTATCCAGTAAACAAATGGGCTAACAGGTGAATTTCTAAGCGTGAGATCAGCCGGCATCAGGTCGGCAAAGGGGGGGGGGGTTATTATGTAGTAAACAACCTCACACCAAAATGGCAGTTGGTGGTTGGCTGTGCTGCTGAGAAGACACAGACTCCTGTTGCTTCAGGATTTCTGTTGGATTTCAGCGTTTCTCCTGTCAACAACCTACAAGATGGATCAGGATTTCAACTGGGGAACAGTGGACCCTCGTCTCCTTCTGGATTTGGCCTCTTCACACTCCACCGGGAAGGACAGAGAGGAGGATATTATGGCCGCTGTGACGCATCTGCAGGGAGGAAAGGCAGAGAAGACTGAGGCCCTGGGTCAGCTTCTGGACATGGCTACAACCTTCACCATGGCTCCCATCTACCACTATCCAATGAGATTCCCAAAGAGATCCGGGAAGAGGGCTGAAGATGGAAAGGCCCCCAAGGTGAAGAAGAGGGACATCACCCATCAGCGCTGCATCCCAGGAGCCTTCAACCAGCACCCATTCACGCTCTTCCCGAGCAAGCAAAGGGGCTATATACAAACAGCTGGTATCTGAAGGTCTCCTGATTGCCCTGATGTCCAAAGAGCCCAAAAGAAAGGCAGCAGAGACCAAGCCTCAAGGAGCCAAAAGACCCAGGGCCCAATGAGGTAAGTGACATTAGGTGAGTATGGCTTTTATTATATTTAAAGCCCATTCCTGTCACCTGCCCCGAATTGATCGCTGGCTAAAAAAAAAAAATCCATCTAAAATGTATTTTTATTTATTTACACAAAGCCACGGTCACTGCAGTCCCAAGGGTTCCCCCTCTACTATTTACATCCAGTGGGGTCCTTGATGGATTGCTTATTATGTTTTGCCCAGAGTTGGGCTTTAAAAAAAAAAAAAAAAAAAAAAAAAAAAAAAAAAAAAAAAAAAAAAAAAAAAGTGTGCATTTAGAAATTATAATTGTTTCTCTTGTTACACAAAAAAAAAAAAAAAAGTTTGTAAACATAGATAAGATAGTGATAAGATAGTATGCTTGTTAAGATAGTCTGCCATCTTGTAACATCCTCTGGTAAATGCCAAACATCTCCTTTTCCTCTTCACTTCTGTTTCTTTGGAAAGAGCAGAGCCCAGAAATGTTAGTTGTGGCCATATACACAGCTCTATGTGCAGCCCAGAGCCCATAGCGCACAGCCCAGAGCGCACAGCCCAGAGCCCATAGCGCACAGCCCAGAGCCCATAGCGCACAGCCCAGAGCCCATAGCGCACAGCCCAGAGAGCCATAGCGCACAGCCAGAGCGCACAGCCCAGAGAGCCCATAGCGCACAGTCCAGAGCCCATAGCAGCACGCACAGCCCAGAGCCCATAGCCACAGCACAGCCAGAGCCCATAGCGCACAGCCCAGAGCGCATAGCTCATAGCCAGAGCCCAGAGCGCACAGAGCCCATAGCGCACAGCCCAGTGCACGCATAGCGCACAGCGCCATAGCCCATAGCGCACAGCCCAGAGCCCATAGCGCACAGCCCACCCAGAGCCCATAGCGCACAGCCCAGAGCCCATAGCGCACAGCCCAGAGCCCATAGCGCACATAGCGCACAGCCCAGAGCCCATAGCGCACAGCCCAGAGCCCATAGCGCACACCCATAGCGCACATGTGAATTGGATATATTATTTTAAACCAGAGTTTAATGTCACTCCTTAACATCTTACAAAAAAGGAGAGGATTGGGCGGCTATAAGGGGTGGAGGAGGCCGGGTTTTTTTTTTTTTTTTTTTTTGGTGACACTAAAACATCCTTATTTTTCTGAAAAATCCATTCACATCCACTAGCTAATGGCCCTTTAATTTACTTTTTAAAGAAATCATTTTCTTCTGTGTTTTCCTGCTTCCTTGTAACATCCTCCATGAGCTCCCACACCTCTCTTGTTCCTCCTCACTTTTAAATACTTGGAATGAACAGCGCACGTTAGGAAAAAAAAGTTACAAAAAAAATATACAAAAATATTATATAGATTTTATAGATAAGATACATATTATAGTTATTGTCATTGTAAACTATTATTCATGAAATTGTCTCTATTATTCTGTGTTTCTGCCATCTTGTGACATCCTCTGGTAAATTCCAAACATCTCCTTTTCCCTCTCAATTCTGTTTCTTTGAAAAGAGCAGAGAATGTTAGTTGTGGCCATATACACAGCTCTATGTACAGCTCATAGCCCAGAGGTGAATTGGATAGATTATTGTAAACCAGAGTTTAGTGTCACTTCTATAACATCTTACAAAAAAGGAGAGGATTGACCAGCTATAAGGGGTGGAGGAGGCCGGATTTTTTTTTAATGTGACACTAATCAACATCCTTATTTTTCAGAAAAATCCATTCACATCCACTAGTTAATGGCCCTGTAATTTATTTTTTAAGGAAATCATTTCTTACTGCATTTTCCTGCTTCCTTGTAGCGTCCTCCATGAGCTCCCACACCTCTCCTGTTCCCTCTCACTTTAATTATATGGAATGAGCAGTGCATGTCAGTTGTAGTCATGTGTCCTGCTTTATGCACACTGCAAAGCCAGTAGTTGAATCAAATGAAAAAAAAAATATTTTTTTTTTTAACCATAGTGTAGCTCTAACATCCTACA